AGGTCCAGTACGTCTGTGAACTACAGTCCAGCCATCTTCACACCACATGAAGCGAAATCTACCAGTGCTGGAATCAGGGCATCTGATTGCTGTCACACCTTGAAAATAAGATATCAAACAAAAGTCTTTACATTTACTTGTATAATATGTCTTAGAAGTTTGTTCGAGTAACTCCTCTGAATTGCAGATGATAAACCTGCCAAGTCCTTGATTTTCAAACTTCCATATTATGTGCATCCATTTTGATATTGTAATATCCAGCACAGGTTTGGTAAAAAAATTACCAATGTACACCATTTAAAGCTCATTCATCTATCCGGATACCACGGTCACATAAATTGTCACGCGGTAAAGACATACGTATAAATACGTAACGTCTAACCTTTGTAATTACGGTTAACTTTAATCAAATGCCGCTGAATTTCAGGCACAACCAGAACGCATGAACAGGAATTCGAAAACGTACTATAATGTATAAATAAGCGAATAAGCATATTTTGGATAGATGATTCATTTTAATAATAAATTAAACGATTTATAAATAGATTATAAATAATTAATCAAACACATGTATATTATACATGTGTATACAAATATTCACTATCATGTAGAATATATTGATGGTTTTGTATTATTATTATTATTATTATTATTATTATTATTATTATTAAAATCTTGCAATACATAAGAATAACCATGAACGAATATTTTACTGTGACATATATGTCAGTAACAGCACTTTTAGACAACTAATATTTTGTCTCTACTTCATACCATATTTATATTGTATTCGTGTAGACCGTGCATAAATACACTTACCTTTCGGAAAACCCGAGCTTTCACTGCAGTCTTCAAATACCTATAATAGTCAAAGGAAGAAGGAAATATCACAATTACCACACTTATCAAAATTAAATATTCGTCCGAAAAATAGAAATTAAGAATTAGATAGAAATTAAAGTGCTAACTATTCGCAAATGCTTCGTATTATACGTCTGGGTATCCAGCGTGTACATGTAGTTATGTATTATAACCATATGTGAAATGTTTTTATTCCGGTTCAAATGATCAAAACAAAAGCATAAAATACCTTGGCATAATACTTCAATCCTGTGTCAGAAATTGAGCTGTTTGCAAACCCATTCGTGTCTCCTCTGTAAGCAGTACATTCGATAAATCTGGTAGTCGTATTTTTGACGTGAAAGTATAGGCAGTATTCATAAAGGAGACAGAGTAACGCACATCTCCCGTTGCTTTCTACAGTGAACTGCTGAATCACATTCTCAGAGGATACGATTCCATATGTTATGGACACAAAATGCGTTAAACTTTCTTGCAACACCCATTGTCTGCTTACATTTGCGAAGCTACCTGTAAAAGAAATTATGTTTACAATTTTTCACGACTTACATGTACTTGCCTTTATCAACACTTGGATCAGTTAACCATCTGAAACAAAACATAATTTTCAGCCAACATCAAGGAACTTCTTTCAAACAGTAAAAAAGAAAATAATTACATAAAGCAGCAGAAAAGAGGAATGTCTTCCAATTTTCCATTTGCGTAGTAGAAATATGTCTTTCAAGTCAAAACCCCGGGCCTCAAATCAAATCTACTGATGTTAAACGATGGTGACAAGCTTTCTCTAATCTACAGGACAAATGTAGAAAAATGAAATGCAGTTGACGCACATCAAAGTGAAAGTTTGCATGCAGTATCCCAATTCGATATCATATTTTTGGACGTCTAGCCTACGCATTACAAATAAAATGAACATTATATTTAAATTTCAAAGCTTAGTAAACTAGTGAACAATATTCTTTGTTTACAGACGGAGAGGTCTCACTTCCATAACTCGAGAATTGCGTGTATTCAGTGTCAACTGTATGTAGATTGATTTCATAAAAAGACCTTGCACATACAACAGTATTACATCAATATTTTTTTAATTGATTGCTTTAGATGTTCCACGTAATTGCTTCCCTATAGGATCTGTACCTCGAATGATAAGTAATTATAAATGAAATTATCCAGTCGCCTTTATTGCCAAGATGGCTTACTTAGGAAACACAATAAGGAAACACAGGACACTTTAACTATGCGCTATCCATAAAAAAAGTTAAATTAACCATTTCTCTGGTAACTGTCGTACATCCACCAACCCTCTCGCTCACATGCTGGAGGAAAATCTCAGGCACGTACAGGCGTTGACATACAACTGACACGCACAGACACATAAACACACGCCCCTACAGAGACACACACTGTATACCAACGATGCCTTTGAATAGCACATTTTTACGTTTATTTACATATACACATGTTACAAACAGACAATTGATTCCGAAACAATGTATTGCTGTCTTGGCGGTTCTTTGTCAATTATATATATATATTTATATATATATATTCACGTCAGTCATATTCACGTTTGCAAAGTTGTTTTTTAAATAAAACATCAAAAGTCTTTTTAAAGACAACGTGAAATTATCGGTTTCAAATAGAAAGAAATATTTACGTAAAACGACAGAGAAAAACATCTTCGAAAATCCCATACTCATTTTCAACTAAAGTTTTCAATCCCATAAACCTTGTAAAATGGAGAATTTGAAATGACGCTACATATTGCACTGAAATACTTGACAACAACAGAAAAGGATATACAATAGACACGTTTCGTATCTGGAAACAAATACCCGTCTGTCTTCGGGGTGGAAGTTTTCCAATTGTCCTATTCAACATAAATCCATGACGGCTACAAAATACTCGCAAACATCGTTTACTTATGTTGCATAAATTAAAGCCCTTACAAAGAGATGGGTATGTCAATATTTTTTCCTTTCGGAAGGAAACCTTTATTTCACTCACCTTAAATAGTGTTCTTTTGCTTATGAATAAATCATGGTGTGGCCTGCCTTATGATCGATTAAGTAACTATGTTATTGTATACGAAGGCCATCATCAATATCTATATTGGTTGCCTCAAGTGTTTCTTCCGAAAACCTTTTTTAAATTGTAATTAAGCGTTCATAAAAGGCTTTCTTAATGCTTCTGGAAGCGTTACTTGCAATATACAAACCAGTGCTAGCTTGTCACGCTAATGTCTACAAATTATCAAAACCCTTTTGTTTTTTATGTATTGATATATGGTTAAAATATTCCTTTCAACCATTAACCGTGGCGTGTTATATATTGAGGAAAAGAAATGATGGAGACAAAGAAGTCATCAAACTGTCGTATTATAACAAAGCAGTTATACCCAAATCTCGCTTAGCAATGAGTGGAGAACCACCAAAACAACGCTATCGGCATTACATGACGTCATACGAGTTCAGAAAAGGTGACAGATTCTTTTGTAGCGATAAAGGTTTAACTCAGTGCGTCGGGAATGTCGTCTTTATAAGCAATGCAAAAGTAAAACCCAAAACATGGCGTATTCGTACTGTTGGCCAATAAACTGTAATCCGACAGAATTAAAGAGAAAACAACCAGGAAAATATCATGGTGTGACCCGTCTCGCCTGCCCTATGATCAATTAAGTAACTAAACGCGTGTACGCGAATACATATATAATAATAAACGAAGGCCATCATCGATATCGTCATTGGTTACTTTTAGTGTCTCCTTTCAAAACCATTTATTCAAAAACAAAATTTAATGTAGATATTTTTTAAAGCTGAGATTTAGTAATTCTGCTAGTATCACTCGGCATTTTGATAGAAATGAGCTTAAATACTGCTTCGCTTGTGAATAAATTAATCTCGAATAACTGGACGGTTCAATACATGCAAAACCCGTCTACAAAAAACAGCGAATGACTCTTATCATAGACTATACTGTCTTCTAGAGCGGCAAACTTTCAAATATTGTCAGCTATATGAATGAAGTAGTTAGCTTACATGTATTTTGGCAATGGAATGATCTAAAGAAGTTATACTTATTTAAGTGTATACAATTACAATTTATGTAAAACTGTAGTTTAGAGAGCTTGTAAAATGTAAATGTACACATTTTAATGCTCAATAAAATTATTATTATTATTATTATAAATATTCTCTACGAGTGTCAGAGACTTAACTCGTGGCTCCTACCGGTAGAATCAGCTTAGTGTCTGCATACATGACAGCTTTCACTGCCATCATACAACAATGTAGCATAAACGCAATTAACCTTGTCTACATAGCATTCTGCATATGGCTGCTGCAGGGCTCTTTTTCGTGCACCTTTAAGAATCGACATAAGTCATATATACAAATACATGTAGGTTCACGTTCTTAAACATAGCGGAATATGTAAGTAGGCACCAAAACAATACATGTGCCAAGCACCCTTGCCCTTGTTAGGCAGGCACTCTCCGTTTGGCATGAATCATTTCTCAACCGCCTACATAAAATCGTGTCGAAATGTTTGGCATGCATGTCATCATTGCAAGGTCAGGTATTTCAAAAATTTTAAAATACATAGTTAGTGGACGTTGCCATTTACTCTCTCTTTCTCTCTTTATCCAGCTGCCTTGATTTTCATTGTTCCTTGTTTCAGCAGGCAACCAGTATCACAATTAACACCCGTAATCCCGGCATATTTGAAGCATCGGGCTGGGAAGGTGGTACATGTCGGATCATCAGGGTACCATGCAGTAAGGACGGCGTCTGCACAGTGGTAAAACCACCATCCACCTTGGTACAAAATTGCACAGTTTTGTCCACTGCGGTCATTGTCTCTGTCGTGTGTGGTAAACTGATGGTCGTAATGATTTATCATACTATCTTCAGATACGTTGCCAACGAAGCTAGTATCGTTTAGATATAATGTGTAGTTGTCACTTTCAGGGGACAAATAAAAGTCATCGTACTCAACCCAGTAGGAGTTGTTGTCATAGGAATCGAGTTCAAATCTTAGTTTGTACGTTTTATTGTAGGTCATAAGGTGGACAATCTCATTTCCAAGCCAGTGGTCACCGGAAATGTCTCCAAATCCATCTCGGTACTCTGCCCAAGTACGGTTAAATGACAGCTCAGGTCCAGTGCGTCTGTGGATTACAGTCCAGCCATCTTCACACCACATAAAACGAACTTTACCATGGTCGGAATCAGGGTCTCTGATCGCTGTCACACCTTGAAAAATATATATGACATAATGATATTCGTAATTGTCCTACACAGGCTCCCTGCATTACAGGACCAATTCCTGTCACCTTTTTTATTTTTAAATATCCACATGTTTGCCCGTTTGGACACATTTGACTGACTTTTTAGCTTTATAAGATGGCAACAAATATGTTTTAGGGCATAAATATTTATATTATCTCCAACACGCCATATTGTATTGCACACCGTTACCTACCTTTAGGATAATCTGACTTGTCACTGCAGTTTGCAAACACCTATCAAAAAAAAAAAAAAAAAGAAAAAAACACACACTTACCACGTCATCGAATATGATACAGGTAGTTGTATAATTACAGTGAATGCAGATAAAAAGACCTTTGATGCACAGGCGAAACACATTTCACACCTGTTCTAAGCGTTGAGGCTTTGTTATATATTCTTCAATTCTTCAAACATATACTGTCACGTCAAAAGCCTTAACTTAAGATATATTACAGCAAATGGAAAGAAAGATAGATACAAAGATAGTTAGGTAGATATGCGTTACATGCAAAGTTAAAAATGTTTTATGTGACCAAATCAAAATGATGAAATACCTTAGCATAATACTTCATTCCTGTCTCAGAAATTGAGCTGTTTGGAAAAGTATTCGTTTCTCCTCTGTAACTAACGCATTCGATAAATCTGGTAGTCGTATTTCTGACGTGAAAGTATTGGCAGTATTCATCGCGGAGACAGAGTAACGCACATCTCACATTACTTTCTACAGTAAACTGCTGAATCTCATTCTCAGGAGATACGATCCCAGACGATGTGGGCATAAACTGGGTAAAACTTTCCTGCAATGCCGTTTGGTTGCTTTCGCCCGTGAGGCTACCTGTAATTAAATGGTGTTTAGATTTCTACAGTCTTTTTTATCTTATAAATCAAATGCTCATACCAACATTTAGATCGACTTATAACTTGAAGCTCCAATTCAGAATGTTTTTATTTACAAAGACATGTATATTTAAACAAAATATATAATGTCTCTTTCAAGTCAACTTTAAATTACCGCTTTCTAATGGAAAAAAATATTTACCTAAAACGACAGAAAAAAGAAACATCTCCGAAAATCCCATCTTCATTTTCAATTTACATCTTCCAACCCGTTAACTTTATAAAATATCGCAATAAAATACTTGACAGACTGACAAAGATATGCAGTAGACTCGTAACGTATGTGGGAACAAATACCCGTGCGTTCTCGGAGTGGAATTTTGCTAAATGTTCAATTCAACAGGACGACTAGACTACACACACAAAACACTCGTAAACAGCATTTTTTACAATGTTACATAAACTTGAATCCTTACAAAGAGAGGGGATGTCAATATATTTTTTCTTTTTAGAAGGAAACTGTGAATCCATTCAACTTAAGTAGTGCTTTCTTTTGCTTACGAATTATTAATGGTGTGTCCCACCTCACCTGTCTTATGATCAATTAACTAAACGTGTGTACGCGTATGCATTTATCATTATATTTAAAAGCCAATATCGATGTCTTTATTCTTTTCTCCGACAAACCTTTATAAAGTGCTATGAAGCGATCATTAAATGCTTTCTTAATGTTTCTAGAACTTATAAATCTTAAGTACACCAATTAACAAAACGTGCTCTTACATTACTTAATTTATTAATAATGGTGAAAATTTCCTTCTATTCTTTACAGAAATTTCCTTTATGTCCTATACATCTTGTAGAATCCTACAGGACGTGTTATATCGAATTCCCATGGGACGCAAGGTAGAATTCCTATAGATCCTATAGAGTTCCACAGACTCCTATAGGACGTCATATAGTCATACCGTGGCGTATCTGCATTATCTGTTCTGGAAAAACAATGATTGATATACAGAAGGTACCGACCTGTTGTATGCCGTACACCTTAATCTTACCAGATAAAAAATGATAATGTACATGATACTTTTTTTTTCACTTTTTAGTTTGTAAATTTCGTTCTCTTTCAAATAACCAGACCAGTCTGCAACCACGTGCCCACAGGCATTTCAAGTCTGACTGGCGCCTATTATTTTTTTTTATTATTTTTATTTTATTTCCAGATTATACCAAAAATACACTAAATAATAACTAGGATAATTAACTAAACCTCTCACCCCCATACACGCACACATGCCTCTCACATTTGGAGCAACTACATAGTATTATCATTGTGACTTTGCCATTTCTATCAAAGTACAAAAAAATAAAAATGTAGTATACTATCACTTTTTACAACCACTATTTACAGAAAGGTAGACAATAGGCTAATAAGTCTAAGATACAAGGCTTTTTCTTTTTTTTTTTAGCCGTAATAAAATAAATATATGGATATATGAAAATACTAGTGTGAAGAAAAGAGAAACAAAGTGTAGACTTAATATAAATTACATTTTTTAATGGACAGAATGGGAAACCCCTCATGTTTTAATTTTCGAAAATTAGCTTCACGTTTTCCCATTTCTCTGTGATTTCTAATCTTTTTTTCTCAGTCCGTAAATAGTTGGATTGCATGTCTATATCTCTATATGATTTTATAAATGTTTTTGTGCTTTTCCAGTTTGGGATTTCCAATTTTGTCCTACAGAGAGTAATATATTTTTTGATTAGAAGGATGACAAGATATATACCGGGCAATTGCTTATTCAGAGTACCCAGTACAAAATATTCTAGTTTTCTTTCTATCGTGAGTCCGCAATGTTTTTTCAAACTTCTGATCAAACATGTCCAAATATTTTGCACATGGACACAGTCCCAAAATAAGTGTTTCAGTGTTTCTTTTGACAAATTCTTTTTCCTCTTCATATCATGATGTTATATATGTGACAAAATATAGACATGTGTATGATTATTTTCCCAGTACAGGGTTGGCAAAAGTTTGAAGTCTAGAAATGGCATGAAAATAATTACACCTGCTAAAAGTTCAATGACAGCCGAGCGTGCTTCTAACCACGTGACATTTTTACCCGATCTTTTGCGTATACTGTACACCATGCACGGACCTCAATTAGGAATAAATAGAATAAGATCAGAGAAAATGTCAGCGTAACGAGCGTTTAGCACATCGTCGTTAAGCTGCGTACACAAAGGCACTTGACCGAGTGCAGAATTCATTTTTTCCGTCAGGACAAAAATTAGGATCGTGCTGGAGAAAAGTGAACATAATTTATCTGCGGCCCCGGAGGCAGGTAGTACAAATAATGGTTACATTATGAAGAAATAAAAAAAAGCGTTTCTCTGCAATGAATATTCCCCGGTTGTAGTGCCAGAATTCACAAGACTTAGAGCTTCGGAATGTGTTATCTACAACGAAGGATAGGCTACTCGTGACTTCCTCATTTTGCGAGAGAGATATCTGCAAACCACGCCGTCGAATATAGGACATTAAAACTGTTTAGACACAGACGACTGCTGGTTTTGCTACTTATTTTATACTTCGCCAGAAAATGTTAAAATTTAGTTTAGCGGCCGTGTTGCTGTTAGCATGTCTAAGAGAGGGGTATGGGGCTTGTGGGATCGCTCCACTTAAGACGCTCACCACACGTAAGTCCAATAAGTTACATAAGACAAAGATTTTGCGTAATTGAGTAATTACCAAATGCAACTCTTATCGTACACTTCCACGAGCAAATATAGACTTTTATGTTGCTCTTAATACGTGTCCTGATATATGTATACAGTGTATATACTGGTTAAATAGAATTACGAACTTTTACCAGTGCATGCAAACAATGTCTTTTGTGTTTTTTCTTTGTATTCATATATCTTTAAATGACCACACAAATGATCATATTCTATTTTGAACGTGTGTTTTATTCTGCAGTACCTTCTTCGGATCTGTGTTCAAAACGAATATTGTAAGAACGCATCTCATCATCAAACACTGACAAAAGACTTTTCCGTTTTACAAATTCTTATAAGTACGAATTCGACCAGGAACGAGAAGTTGGCCGTGATGACGAAAGGAATCATTTTTAAATATTTATTTTTACTTTTTTCTCTGTCACACCAGCCTTGGGACAGACAGTAGAGTACTGTGAGTGGGAAGGAAAGAAGATTGGCGTTGGAAGCAGTATTCGTCTGGTATCAGCCGGGGCGTGCTCCAGTGTCTCTTGCACAAAACATGGCATGCAGTTCTGTGGGTAGGTTGACAAGGGCGCGAATAGAAGCAACAGACGGGTTTGTGGGACTCATTAAGGAACTGTTAAAAATAATTTTATAAACATCAAAATTAAATTTTATTTTGCAATAATGGTGCATTTTTCCCTTTCTTTTATTTGTAGTTAAAAAAGAAGTTACAATATTATATAGTGTATCCATACCGGACTGAACAAGCGTTACGAGCGGGCATACTGTAGACCCATATGAAAACTTGAATGTGAAGAAGCTGGCCTGGCACTAAGGCTGGCGTGTCCTATGTGTGCTCTGAGCCTTGCCCAAAACGCGTTATCTTAGTCTTCCCCTGGGAAAAGTCAGCTGCTTCAGTGGCCACAATATTATAGGGTCAAACAGGTTCAAACACAACTCTTGAAATGAATGAGCTCGTCGTTTTGTGTATACTCATTAAGTACCTTTTTATTTCACAATTAAAATCTTATAAATTACAGTTCATACAATCACCTGGAAAAAGAGATTTCTTTTCATTTATTTAAAGTAGATTTTGTTTAAAGGCTGGCCTCTAGGACTCGCCCCCTTCCCTCATCGAGTCGCTTACCTTGTTAATAAATAACAACGTACTGTCTCTGATTTATTACGGTTGATTATTTTGTGTATATGCCTCTAAACTGTAAAGATCACACTTCGATTTCGACTTTACATGTTTTTTCCAGGGGAGGGGTATATTTTGGTCTGACAGACGATTGTGAAGCCACTTACGACGCCTGTAATTTGGTCTACGTGAAGAAAGATAATCCTCTGGAAGTTTGCAAAACTTCCCCCTGGAAACCATCATTGACGCCATCTATCGGGAAAAAATAAACAGCCGTGATCTCATCAATTACAATCTAATAAAGATGTTATTTTCTAGCCGCATAATAGAACATTTTTGGGATTTGAATCAACATAAGAGAGATAAACAGGATGCATCGAGTCTGCCATTTGTCACTGTACCTAGCGGCTGTCAAAACACTAGCTTCAGATGTTAGTTATATACAAACATGTAATAACGCCAAACCTTTCCTTGTATTTTGTGTAAAAAGGGCGTGTTATTTCCGGAAATAAAATTTTGAACCGGTATGCCTTAAAGCGTGTTGTGTTGGTTTGAATCAATTGAAAACCATCATCACTTTCATGAAATTTCAAGACTCCATGTACGTCAACGACCGAATTACCGGTACCTCCATTTTGATATTAAAAGATTAAATAAACTACATGTAAATATGCCGATATTCTTTTGGTCGGTCACGTCCCCCATGATAGTTCGCTTCCGATTCATTTGTAGTATTGTACAAGTAAGCCTCAACGTAGATTTTGACCCACTAACGAGACTAACTAGTAGGTCGGGCTAACCCTAACCATTATAACTAAATGGAGGGTGGGCTTTCTGTTACACGGACCCTCAGTTTCGTTTCGCCTACATTATGAAGAAATAAAAAAAGCCTTTCTCTACAATGAACATTCCCCGGTTGTTGTGTCAGCATTCACAAAACTTGGAGCTTTGGATGGTGTTATCTACGACGGAGGATAAGCTACTCGTGACTTACTCATCTTGCGAGAGATATATCTGCAAACCACGCCGTTGGATATAGGACATTACAACTGTGTATACACAGGCGACCGTTGGTTTTGCTACGTATTTTATACTGCGCCAGAAAATGTTAAAATTGTGTTTAGCGGCCGTGTTGCTGTTAGCATGTCTAAGAGAGGGGTATGGGGCTTGTAAATTGGATCCACTTAAGACGCTAACCACACGTAAGTCCCATAAGTTACATAAGACAAAGATTTTGTGAGTAATTACCAAATACACCCCTTTTTAGTTTGTGCCTATCTTGCCGTACACTGACATGAGCAAATGTTTTAAAGATGTTGCTCTTAATACGTATCCTCGTGTACATGTATGTATACAGTGTATATACTGCATATAACGTGTTGTAATGTTGTAAGAACGTATTTCGTCATCAAATATTGACAAAAGACTTTTCTTTTTTTACAAATTCTTATACGACGAATTCGACCAGGAACGAGAAGTTGACCGTGATGATGAAAAAAATTATTTTGAAATAAATTTTAACTTTTTCCCTGTCACACCAGCCTTGGGACAGACAGTAGAGTACTGTGAGTGGGAAGGAAAGAAGCTTGGTGTTGGAAGCTCCATACGTCTGGTATCAGCCAAGGGCTGCTACAGAGTCAATTGCATCGACCGTGGCCTTATGTTCTGTGGGTAAGTTGACATTGCTCGAATATGAGCAACAGGCGGGTCTCGGGCTCATTAAAAACTATTAAAAATAATTTTATAAACACCAAAATTAAATTTTCTTTTGTAATTTCTACATTTCGAGTTGCATTCCGGCTCATTCTAGCAGGATTTGAAGTGTCTTGCCATTTCGGTTCTCCCTCGAACGCGATCAGAATGTTTCGAATGCTGTCGGAATGCCCTAAGAATATTTAGAATGCAGTCATAGTGCAGTCAGAAAACACTAAGAACTCCTTTCGATATTTCTTAACTTGGAATGCACTTTGTAAGTTTTGAGCATGAGCAAAACATTCAGGCCGTCCACAAGAATGGGTAAAAATATTTGGAACGCACTCAGAAATTTTAGAATGCTTTATGAATATCCAGGAACGAACAAAGAATTGTCTTATCGACGGCATTCTTGCTCAATCAGCCTCTAGTGTGACGGGGCCTTTACTTAACAAGCTGGCT